GTGGAAGAACCAAATCTCTCAGTACTAAGGTGAATGTACAATGTAACAATCATTCTGAAAGACAGTTTGGCAGTTCCTTACAAAGTTAAATACATACCTGCCTTAAAAACTAGTCACTCCACTCTTTCGTATTTACTCAAGAGAAATGGGAGCTTCTGGTACTGTGAATGTATATTCATAGCAATATCATATATAATACAACAAAACTGCAGATAATCCAAATGTTCACTACCTAGCAAATAGATAAGCAGCATTATTTCCACACAGTGGGATACGACCTAATAATTAAAAGGAATGAAACAGTGAATAAACACAAGTCAGGTATCAAAGTAGTTGTGCCAAATGAAAACTCCAGTCCAAACAAAGACATTCTATGGGCATCCATTTACACATTTTAGAAAACAAAGACTTGTCAATAACATTGTAAGCAGAACAGCAATTCCTTGGAGCCTGAGAGGTTTTAGAATTGGGTAGACAAAAATTCAAAACATGCCAGTGATGGCTATGTTCATTCCTATTTGTGCTGGCCATATCCCTTACAGGAAAGGTTATAGAACAGTACACTGTAAACATGTGCAGTAAATCAAGACAGTCAACAACAGAGTCAACAACGGGAGACATCTTACAAAAGAGATGGCTGGCTGGCACCAGGAGCGCCCAGTGCAGCCTGTTTACCACCGTTGACCTCAGGGAAGGCATGTGCATCACAGCCACAAAGACAAGCACAAGAGGAGACAGTCTAGTCAAGTCAAAGAAAAACTGTGCCCCCTCCACCAAGCTAGACAAGAATACAAAAGGAAAATCATTTTGGAAAGAAAACAAGAGACCACTGTGTTAAAGTGTTAGCAGCTCAAATCAAAACTCCTGGCTTAACTGTATATATTTTTTTTTTTTTTTGCAGAACCGGGGATTGAACTCAGGTCCTTGAGCTTGCCAGGCAAGTGCTTATTCCACTGAGCTATCTCCCCGGACCCTAAACACTTTTTTTTTTTTTTCAGAACCGGGGATTGAACTCAGGCCCTTGCGCTTGCGAGGGAAGCGCTTATTCCACTGAGCTATCTCCCGGCCCCCTAACTGTATCTTGTAGTGACTGGAAAGCATCAAAAAAATTCCTTCAATTACTCTGGCTGAAAGGGGCATGAACAAAAACTTAGGACTGAAGGCCTGAGAGCCAGAAGATCAAACTAGGTCTGTCTCTGAGTATAAACTAAGGGCTGAAGAAAGGTGTCACAGTGGAGATAGGCAACATGGACATAATGGTAGAATATAAAGGCAGAATTTTATGAATCATAACACAGGGGAAGGAATACTACTGATGTCTCCTCTTTGGTGAAAGTTAACTACAGTAGTCTCGTAAGGCACCAATCCCAACCCCTGTGGAAGGCAAGCCAAGCCCTATACAAAATAATAAGGGACCACAACTGCCACGGAATTACGAATCCAAGGAGTGAATAAAGCCTAAAAGAAGCCAACGAAGTATGTAGGCTCACTGCAGGAGCCCTCCACCAAGTCAGACCCAAACCAGTACAATTTAAGCAGTGACTTCTAAAATCAAAAATATCCTCAAGCACCCTAAAGGAAAATAAGACTTTTTTAAAAAAAAATACAACCAAAGTGCTAAACTACTGTAGGGAAATCAATGATAAGAAGGCTTTCAGTTTCCAGTAGTCAACTTTACTGGATGAACGGAAGTCCTGGCACATGGAGTGAAAAATCACAACCTAGTGGTTAGACTACAGATGTGTATGTTGGGACAATCTGTAGTATCTGAAGCTTTACATGCAATTAGAATTATATTCTTTCTTCCCTTATCAACAGGCCAATTTTATGAAATAAAAAAAGTCTACTCTAGGTTAAGTCTTAAGTGTACATCCCCATTTCTCAAAGCATACCCCATTCATTTTCTCCCCCATTGCATGTACAATGCATCTGGTTTCAAAGCACATACCTGTTTGGAAGGTAGGATTTGCTCCAGGGTACATGTTAGGAGAATATGCAGGAGCTGCTGCAGCATAGCCCATGGGGAAACCAGCTGAAGGAAAACACACAGCACAATGGGATATCATCAATCAAAGGGGGCGGGGTGATCCGATAACCAGAACTCTTGCAAACATACTGCTCTTACCTCTGTCACCAGAACACTAACTCAGAGACCATGATGGCACTCTGTGTACTTCACAGTTCATCTCTAGGTGTTTTACCCTCAGAATTTTGATAGGTCACAAGTATAGTCAAGTTTCATGGGGTGGGATGCAGAAGACCCAACCCAGGACCTTGCAACTGAGCTACACCCCAGCCTTTTTTATCTTAAGATTGGATCTTATTAACTTGTCCAGGCTGGCCTCAACCTCTCTAGTAACTTGGTGCCAATGTGCATGGCCATAACCATGTCTTTTAAACCTCTAATCAAGTGATTCTAACTTTATACAACTGGAACAAATTTTGCAAACTAAGTCAAAAGTCTACTGCCAAGAAGAGCTACAGCAAGAGGATATGGGTGTCAACAGAGTGTGTGCTTAGCACCTGTGAGGCCCTTGGTGAATGCTTAGCATCAAAATAAATAAGCACATGGGGCTGGTGAGATGGCTCAGTGGTCTAAAGCACATACTTAGACAAGCTTAGCACAGGGACCGCGGTTCAATCCCCCAGCACCACATGCCAGCCAGCCCCGCCCCCAGGTGGGCTGAGCTGATCTCACACACACACACAGACACACAGACACACACACACACAAAATAAAATAAATTTATATAAAAAAAAAAAAAAAAGCACAGGGGCCGGGAAGATGGCTCAGTAGAATAAGCGCTTCCCTGGCAAGTGCAAGGGCCTGAGTTCAATCCCCGGTTCCACCAAAAAATTTTAACACACACAAAAAAAAAAACCACAGCAAAATAAATAATCATAACGTTCCCTGGCAAGCGCAAGGGCCTGAGTTCAATCCCTTGTTACGCCAAAAAAAAAGAAAAGAAAGAAAAGAAAAAATTCACAATGACCAAAAATTTTTAAGAATCCAAGCTACATTAAGGTAGCATCCAACACTTCTGGCACTTTTATTCCAGATTCTAACCATATGACTTATTTCTTAGCAAGAATTATAAGAGTGCTTAAAAAAAAAAAGTGCTAAAAGTACCATGTGCTAGATCCCGTATCTGACTTTATCACCCAGAAAATGAAAGAACCACCATTCAAATCCACCTTGGATCATCACACAGCCCATTTCTGCATTTGTCAGTGAGACAATAAATGCTTTAAGGCATGTATTCTAAGACACAACCACAATATTGCTTACTTTCAATTACAAGCTAGTAATGCCCCCCCCCCCCCCCCCCCGATTTTTGAGTCAGGTTCTCACTATGCAGTTCAGATGACCCTGTATTCATGATGTGGCCCAGGCTAGCGTCAAACTCACGGCAATCCTCCTGCCTCACCTTCCCCAATGATGGGATTACAGGCATGCACCACCATGGCTGGCTGATTTTTCATTCTTTTCTTTTTTAAAAAAAATATTTATTTATTTATTTATTTATTTATTTATTTATTTATTTATTTAGTGTGTGTGGCCAGCTCAGCCC